GATGGCGATTGTTCAAGAAGACCACAGCCCACTCTGCCTGTCCGTTCGCAACCGCCGCTTTCAAGCGGTTCAGCGTCGTCATCTATAGGAGATGAGTAGATGGCAATATACTTGGCATGAATAAGGCATCCTTGTACCATCGCACCTCACCTTGTCTGACAATTGCCATCTGCGCGGTGTGCCGGTACTTTGCAAGAGATGAGGTCTGGGACGCAGCCGGCGATGATGGGATAAGCTCTTCTGACAAAGTCTCTTGTCGAATGGGGCGGAAATGCCGTCCAAGTGCCTCGAGTAAAGTACCCACAAGTAACTTACCCACAAGTAACTTTGGTAATCTCCAAAGCGCCTGTTTCATCACTGGGGGGCGTTTGGCCCCTGCTGCCAAAAGTACCTTGACATGTGCAAGAAGTCGCGTCCATTGTTCCGAAAATGGCTGACCACCACCTGGCGAGTATCACGCCCAAAAATTTCAAGACGTGGGAACTGACTAATCGCATCGTCAATAAAGGCAAATACGAAGGCCTCGACGACCTTGAACCACTGGATTTGGCACGCCATGGGGAAAATTCAGCAACAGCCTTGGTTCAACCCAGAGCACCGGTATTCGACTGCAGCCGGATGCGAGACTCAGATCGCCGCGGGCAAACAAATGGGAAGTGGCGGACGCGAGTTGCGATGCAGGGAGAAAAATTCGGACGGACATTACGTTGCACACGACAGTCGTGCAGTTTGACACCCAGAGTTCAACACCACGCCAAGACTGTGATGATGCGGGCAGGGGACAGGGGAGCTCTGCACGCAGTCGCTCAATCGCCGACCGGTGAGCGACAGTCTATCCGGCCGAGGCCGCTCAGTGGAAGATAGGCGTTCCGCTTTCCTTGACCCCACGCGCCGAACTCAAGGAGAGAGCGGGACGCAGCGCTAGCCGAACTGTCTAGGACGATCCCCGTCTGCTCAGCCTTCGAGGCCGCGGCGCCATCTCTTGCGAGGGAACACCTCTGTGAGACACTCCCGTAGCTGAACGATGCGGCTCGCCGTTGTGCTGTGAAGCGGCGACACCTCACTGTGGAGAGCCTTGGTGGCTAACCCTTCAGCCTCCCGGCCCTAGATTCGACCCCTGATAGCGTCGCATCTTCGCATTTCGAAGTGGATCTGAGGGAAAATCTGCATGTACACCAGGAGGCAGTGCAGGACGTAGCAGACCGACCCCGCGGCAGCAATCCTGGTTGCTATGCATCTTCATGGCCTCTTCTCGACCACAGATAGCCACCACGCATGTCTCATGAGTCGCACTGTGCCGCGTGGACCTTGCCTACCACTGCAACAGCGATTGCTTCCTGCGAAAAAGAACATACACGGTGGCCAGAACGGATCGCGAAACGGTCGAGTGCGTAATGATCGTAAAAGCAACGCTGGCCCTGCATCGCCTCGATAGCCACCCATCCGAAGACACCTAAGGTTATCTGTGTGTCTGCCCAAGAAGGCATCCACCATGCAGCGGACATGATGCGAAAGGCCAACCGTCTTTGAAGATACTATAGGAATGAGGCAGAGCGACGGCGAACAGGGCAACACCACATGTCCGTCGCTCGTCACGTATTCCTTTTCTGGCCGCTCTGGAGTTTCACTGGACTGCAAGTCTGGCACAGGGTTGCAGTTGGTCAAGTACTTCAATTTTCTCTACCGTTGATGCCCTTGACAACGCCATTCATGATTTCCGCGGAAGTCTATCCAGCAATCGGTGTGCCATGTCGTCTGCAACGCCGTCCGATAGCTTTGTGCATCCCTCCCGATTGAGTACCGCCAGCGGAAACGGGCAAAGTCTGGATATTATCATCTCTGCTGTAGAGCCCCTTATTTTTTGCCCCCTGTGTCCATGCTGCCGGCCAACCTTTAGCGGAAGCTTATCTCGAACTTCAAAGGAAAAAAAGAAAAGCGCCTGATCGTCAAAGATTCGAGCATGGCCCGATACTATGCCTCGTTGGTGCGAACTTGCATCAAAGACCGCGCGTCTTCCTTGTCGTGCGCCTCCTCAGCGTACGTGTCTTCATCCTGTCCTGGCCACAAGATCGCCTTTTTGATGATGGCGCGGACCATGCTAACAAAGACGAAGATGTAGGCGCAGACGAGGAGGACGGTCATCATGCTGCCGACCCACTTGATGCCCTCGCTGTTCAGCGACCGCCCGATGTAGATGGTGCCGAGGGTAAAGCCGACGTTGGGGAAGATGAAGGACCACCAGTTGAGCTTGAAGACCATGGAGTGCCAGTGGATGGTGCAGCTGATAAGGCTGATGAAGAAGAACCAGCACGACAGGCTCCACACAAAGACCGATACCATGGTGGCGCCGACCCGCATTATCTGCATCGTCGCCGCGTCGTTGCCAAAGTACTCATAGTACGACGGGTACGCGTTGGCCATGTTGATGATGACGAGACTGGTGAAGCTCGGCGGTCCGACAGCAATGAACATGGCAGGTCGAGTCGCCAGCGACGGCAGCCCGTACTGCACCATGCGGTGGATGTAGCACGCGTACATGAAGATGCTGACGAGCAGGCCCAGGCCCTGCGCCGTGAGCCCGGCCACGATCATGGGCATTGCGTCCGCGGGAGCAAACTCAGCGGCACCCGTGCAGGCTACCGTGCCGCTGATCATGAAGGGGAAGATGGGAAAGTCCCACGCCGGCGTCATATCCTCGATCTTGAGTTCCGGGTTGGTGAAGAGAATCATGTAGTGACCGACGGCGGAGCAAAAGGTCAAGACAAAGTATATCCAGAAGCAGACGCGGAACGCATCCAGGAGCCACGGACCGCAGGACGCGGCGCCGTAGTGGATCATGCAGCTCAGGACGTTGGAGCAGGTGAGGAAGAAGGCGGCGAAGAAGATTGTCTCCGGAGGCCGCCTGATTGAGTTGAGAAAGGTTTCTGGGTATTTGATGAAACGGTACGTTATGAGTGCTGAGATGACGACGATCAAGAAGAGATCCCAGATGAGTAAGACCTTGCCAATCGTCTCGAGGCCTCTGAAGGTGTGTGGCTGGATTCGAGGAGAGAGGAGAATGGCGATGCCGCCAGTTGACATGGTGCACGTGTACCAGGCCTGTTGACATTAGCAAATCTGACAAATCGCAGGCTGGTGTTGAAGACTGACCCAAGTAAAGTGTTTTAGGCGCTCAGATATGCTCATTGAGTGCGTCTTTGCCTCTTGATCGTACCCTCTGATGGAGGTCGAATCGAATCCTCTTTCTTCGTTACCGTATCCTCTTAGGGAAGCCGAATCGTATCCCCTCTTCTCTTCCTCTTCACAGCCTCCCCTCAGCGAAGTCGACTGGGATCGTGTCATCTCTTCATTCGCGCAGCCTCTGAGCGAGCCTGCCTCGATGGCGCTAAACGTCTTGGACAAGGACGACGACATGGCCGGAAAGACTTGAGAATGGACCCAATGGTGATGGAATCCGCTGGAGGACTAGCAAAAAGACACGATAAGAGGACCTTTAAGACAGACATTGGCAAACTCCTGGGTTGCGCTCCACTCGGGGCAAAAACGCTGGAGCGATGGTCGGCCGACTGCAAGAGGAACCTAGCAGGCATTGGCCCACGGGACGTGCCAGCGGCGCAGACATGACGTTTCTTCCCAGATACCGTCGTCTATTCCAGCACACCGGGAAGCTGGACAGTAGAGATTGTAGCCAGCGGAGCTGACTCAGCCTCTGTCGTTGCGATTTCGCTCGGCCCGTACGGGAAGCCATGGGGTAGATCGAGCGTCAGGACGTGAACTCGGACGTCTTGGAGCCGGTCAATTTTCGTCCCGAGTCAAATAAGTGATGGAGATATGGAGCGCTCTCGCTTCGCGCTGCCGGTGTCCACAGACTACTGTGCCGGCCTCCATGCACGCAGGCTCTGGATGAAACAACTCAGCTGGCTTGCCGATGTCCCTGGACGAACGGAGGTATCCCCAAACGAGCAATGCAAAGAGAAAGAGTGGGTCCACCCGTTGTCGAATGCTTGTTTCCTGGTGCATTCAAGCAGGTCATTATGCGTATCCAGCTCGTATTCCCGTGGTGTTTTAGAGGAGATAAGATGGATAAGATGGGTTCCTTTTGCCCGCCCAGCAGTCTCCGCAGCGGAGCGGACAGGATCCACCGCTCTCGCGACCCATCGCGCTCGGTTCCACGTGTGTCCTTGTCGTTCGCTCGGGCTTAGCTTCGCGCCCTGTTGTTGCGTTCTCGCAGATTGTTCGAGGTTCATGATGGGCCCTGTCTCTCCGGTGTGTCGACTGTTGAAGGCAGCTCCTTGGTGGCAACCTGCACCTCTCCGGCTCCGGTAGTTGGCGTGGTTCAACCAGGTTCGTCTCTCAAGAGCTTCCCCATTTGATCGGACGAGTTTGGGGTTCGAGACAGCCTTGGACATTTCCTTGTTCAACTGCCTGGATGCATAAAAAGCATGACCATATTCCGGGGGTTTGGCGAAATTTCCAAGGGTTCAGTCTCCGGGCCGTCCGAGGCGTTTTGTTGAGATGTGGTAGTCGAAATAAGTTAACATCTTGCGTAGAGTCGTTAAATCAGCAATATGGCGGGAGAAAACCAAAATCACGCATCTCAGAGGAGCTCCCGAGGTCTATATAAACGGCATGCCGGGAATCAAGTGCCGCATCAGCTGCGCACTTTAGCCGCGCGAGCACACGCCACTCGGCCACCACTGCAGACTTAAAAAGTTGGCTGTCTACGCAAGATTCAAACCACATCTGCCCATCCGACACCTACTTTTGTATCCGAGGTACATTCCAGCTCTTGTAGACGGCCAGCTCTGGGTTCGCGCCGTCCCATTGGTCTGTCCTTTTGGCGGCCAGCTGCGGCTGTTGCTGATTGCACGGTCCGTTCCGTGGTGGCGCCGTGCTCGCTCTCTGACCGTCCTTCCGGTCCACGCACAAAAGAAATTTGTTGCAACACCACAACAGCATCGTCGCATCACCACGACTCTGCAAATGAGCAAGAGTAGGGTTTCCGTCGCCGGGAATTGAACCCGGGCCTTGCCGGCACTCGCTTTCAGCCGTGGAATCGGTTTTGAGACCATCAGCTTGAAGTGAGAGAGACTCTCTTTGTGAGAGCGGCAAATCCTAGCCACTAGACCACAACGGATGTTATTGGAGGCGAATCTGACTCTATGCTTTGATTCTGCCAATAAAATCATGTCTCGGGCCAACTGCCATCTCAGCAGACCTCGCCATCGCGCGCTCACGTGACGAGCATATTACCCAAATTTGAGAAAAGGCACAGGTCTTCTACTGCTTTTCCGAGCACGCTGATGCAAATTGGGCTACACAAAGGAACAGAAGTCGTGCGCGTGATGATCTGTATACAGTCCAACTGAAACATTGGCGCTGTTGGACGACACCTCAGGCGACCTCTTGGACGTCGAATGAGCGTCAAGATGTCGAGAAGCTGGAAAAGTGTAAGATTACGAGGGGATATTTCAGCTGACAAGGCCTCACAACCACATCCGTCTTTCCATCGACCGTCATTCACAACATTTCCAATGCGTGGGCTGACATTTTGTCATGCGATTTCTCGTAACCCCTGGATAGCTTACCCCTGGATCCGTCCATTGCATTGTCAAGCTCACCCCCGCTTCCGCTCTTAGCAAGTCAGGAACCAACCACGACGCTCAGAACAGAGTTTGTACCAATGTTAACGCCCCCTGGCCACGTTTCTCTTTACTTTCGCAACACTTTTTAGATGCTCGCAGCCATACTTTGAAGCTACCCCTCGAGTCGGTAGCTCCACGCGCCGCCGCAATGACTGGTACATTGTTACGTGTAAATCAGTAATCGCAGAATAAAGGTTTGCGTCTCAGAATTGTCTTGGTCGACTCGATCACATAGAAGCATCGATTAGGGACTGCAAAGTCAATCATCGGACAGTTACGATGTGGCGGTGGCCCAGGACAGTACATATTGCTTCTGAAACTCGCTTCTGGTGCGGAATGTCTTTACTGCTATCCTGATTCGCCCTCAGTCGGACCATTCACAGGAAATACGTACGTCCAAGCAGCACTAATGCAAAGACACATTTGGCGCAAGAAGCCAACAAATGCAGTCCCCTTAAGCAAGTGGTCTAATTCTCCTGATCGTCAATGCCTCAGAGGACTCGGTCTTTCTTGTACACATCGCGGCTTCAATTCCCTCAATCCACAGGATGTGTGAAATCATGCCACTTCTTTGCGCCGCGACGTCCTCCAAACCATGATCCATGCGCAAGGAATGTTTCTCAAGACCCTCCGCTAAGCATTTTCCCCACCAACCTCCCGAGAAGACAACAAGGCGCAGTTCCCACCACGCGAAGACCAGGTGCTGCTCAGTCCGGACACCCGCTGCCCATCCATTTCCTCACATTGTAAAGCTAGCACGATGCCACCGCTCCCAATGCCAACTGCAAGCTCTAAAAATCAAGGTACACTTGACAGTCCCGACCCGAAACCTTGCCGCAGCAAGCGAAGTATACAGTTTGCTACTTCGCGCCACCACCGGCACATCCAACGGCACTTTTCACCCTCTGCACTTGCCGCATTTTGACTTCCGGGTGATCAGCAGTGGTAAGCTTAAAGCGCGGCATCGATTTTGCTGTTAAACGGATGCAGTGGCCCGAAGGCGTCGATGTCGCGTGGGTTGGGTTGGCGTTAGTAATGGCGATGCTGGACTACACCACAGCGATTATCGAGAGATGCGACAGAGGGCGGGGCGGCGAGGTTTGCTTTGAAATAACCCTTAATATGAACTCTTCTGTGTCTTTAACGCCGTCAGGGTCGAAAAGATGCAATAGGCTTCGAAGCGGCCAGCTCGTTGTGCGTCAGAAAGTCGCGCCTCGACCGCCCCAAAGTATCACTGCCTTCCCAATATCACAAAACTCCTCATTGGTATTGTTTCTTTGCAAACAACGGCGCCTCCCTGCCAGCGGCAGGTAAACGAGTGCGCACCGCTGCTAGCACGACCCTTCCACCGACGGGGCGTTGCATTGCCAACTTCAATGCCCGCAAGATGACACCACGCTGCAGCGCGCCATGCCATGCCATTCTCGTAGCCGAGCACGCACGCAGGCGGCCAAGCGCAGCAAATAAACTCCGAGCAATCATCCATAAGTCCACCAAGTAGGCAAGTTTTGTCCAGCTGGCAGCCCCCTGCCTGCGTTCTCTCAGTAAGTACAGCACGCATGGTGCAGAAACTACAGCGGAGGCGCGTCGCGGCGGCGGCGACGGCGGGGCATGATTGGCAAAACTACGAACGTTGCGTCTGAGCTTCCGCCGCGGCGGGCGCGCGCATGTGAAAGGAGAGACGGCGACGCGACTGGAGCGGATTGCCGCGTGCGAGCTGAGAGACCCCAAGCGCGGGCGGTGGGAAGGCCCGTCGTCTTGACTTTCGTTTGCGTTTGCGAGACGCGCATGCGCGGGTCTGCTGTCATGTCAAAATTACTAAGCGTGTTGGCCTGGCGCGTGGGCGCAGTGGGTGTTGGTGGTTGTGGTTTGTAACTGAACGAGAGATGGCCTTGGCTGTGGGCGTGGCGGAGATGGGGGGTGGAGCTGGGCGAAGAGAAGATGATGGGTCTCGGTGAGATAAAAGGAAGAGATGTTGCGAGAAGGAAGAATGTAATGCGGAATGCACAAATATTGCGCAATTATAGCGCTGCTGAGGCGCCATCTTTCTCCCTTCGAAGATGTAGACCTTTGACATACCTAGGCATTGAAATTGCCAGTGAAAGAGACGGAGCGTACAGGAATCCAAAAGGAAGAAACCCAAAGTAATGGAAAAAGATGAAATTAGAACGCGCAGAAAAGAGAAGGAGAGAATACCTGATGCTCGGATTTGCGCAGCAGAGTCAAGCCTCGCAGTTAGCAGGATATTCCACTTTCTCTTAACGGTGTCATTTTACACAACAATGAGATAATGAGGCAACATTTTGCAAGTTACAAGTCACAATCGAAGCAATCATGAACTGCTCATTCAAAATCATCCTGAACTCACCTCTCTCATTTCTTCTCCAGAAGGCAGAAAGAGAAAACCACCATGAGAATGTCTCGATGCACACACTTCGTCCTCATTACACCCAAACAACGTTTCTCACTGACCCCTCACTCCAGCCACGGGACAGATTCGCCGCCAAAAGACACGGAGACTGTCAACTCTGTCGCTGCTCGACAGTTCTCGTGCCGAAAAATGGAACTGTGCAATGTACGACACAACGACATCGCGATTGCACTGATACTTTATAATAAAATGAGGAGAGTCGGGGTCGGTGGAATCAGGGTACGGCATTTTACTTTGCGAACGAGCTCCTCTGGTGGAAATTGAGACAGATTTGACAACTGTCTTGCCTACTCTACCAGGAAAAATTATAGGAGCAGTAGCGGGAAGGGGACTGGTCGTAAGTGTACGAGAGGAAGAACTATACCAAACCACGCGGCCAATTCGACATAGATGCGCAGTCGGCGAAGTAAGCAACAAGACACCAAGCAGTCCATGGAGGGATCAGACAAACCGGCAGCGAAGCATACATTTCTATCTGCACAGAGACGCCACATCCCGCGACACCACAAGCAACCCACCGATCGACTGATCGAACAACTATCCAAAGACGCCTGCCTGCCCGTCCTCTTATTGTGCTGCCTCGCAAACTAGCTTGGTGCCTACGCACCTCATGACCTCGCATTGTCGGACCATCCACAGACTCCGCGGATAGAAAGACAGGCGGGCCGGCGAGCCCTTTTGTCGAGAGCCTTCGATACTGCCCACAAGCTGTACCGCGCCGCGCCGCACCGCGTCGAGCTGAACCGTACCGACAGACAGAAAGACAGACAGACAGATGCAAGCAGTGACGTGGAGGCCGAGAAATATGAGGAGAGATAAAGAAGGAGATAGATGAGAAAGGGTAGGAGAGGAGAGGAGTGGTATCAACCCAAGCAGAACAAATTGCAAGCCCCAGCAAAAAGTGTGCGTCTCTTTTTTCCCGCCGTGTGCCTTGGCTTCGCTTGAGGAGTCGTTGCCGTATCTTTACAACAAAACAACACAGAAACAGAGAGAAAAGAGTCCGACCAACCCACCCACCCATCCACCTATTTCAATTCATCCAGTGCAGTGCAGCCCAGTCCAGCTCGTAACAAATAAATATGACGCTTGCTTGTTCGCTTGCTCGTCCGGTTTCTTTACATCTTGTTGCATGCATGCAAGTCTAATCGATCAAAACTCGCCCCCGCCTCCTCCCAGCATCGCTGCTCCCCACACGCCCACGAGCCCCCAGAATCCCACGCGCCATCCCCTCACCAGCCCTTGTACGCCTTGGCCTTTTTGCGCGCGCTGCTGCTGCGCCGCGGCAGTCGGTCGACCTGCGGCAACGCGTTCTACAGCCGGTGTCCGCGCAGGCACGGCGGTGCCGCCCTCCTCGCGCGCAATCGACCACATGGTGCCGAGGATGCCGCGGTAGGGGCCGACATTGACGACGGTAGGGAGCGGCTCATCGTCCGGATCGGCATCTCTGCGTTTGGCGGGGCTGCGGCTCTTAGCCGGGCTGCGGGATCGAGGAAGCTCGTCGGGATGTCGGGGGAGACGCTGAGCGCGGGCGTGGGCGGAGAGGGTCGCGAGCTGGCCGCGGCGCAGCACCGTTTCGAGTGGCAGCTTGACGAAGAGCTCGGTGGCGGAGGAGAGGAAGGTGCACAGCGAGTAGGTTGCGGGTGTGAGGACGGGGTCGATTCTTGCAGATGAGCGCAGGACTAGTGGTGTCGAGGCGGAGAGGAGGGTTGGTAGCGTTGAGTGGAGAAGCGTAATTGGGAAGAGTGCAGGGGGAACAGTCAGAGAGGGGAGATTCCGGAGGTTTGGAAGGATAGCTCGTGGGGCATAGTTGGCGGGCGTTGCGATTAATCTGGAAAAGATGTTAGCGCATGGCTCTGGTGTTGTTGACGCTGGTTCGACTCACCGCGTGCGGACCATGTCAAGAGGGGCCAGCATGAGCCCCGATATTCCTGCTGCAGCCACGGCGACAGCAAGACTGGTAAGGGGATTTGGACTGCCCATGATATCCAATCCACCTCCCCCGACACCGTATCCTCCCAATAGGCCTGGGTCGGGCACATTCAAGAGAGCAGACAAGAGACT